TGTCACAATTTGTAGCTCAATAACTTTAAAAAGCCCTGAAAAACTACAAGCTGAAGTAAATATGAAAGAAGAACTGTATCTTTGCAAGAAGTTAGCTGCAGGCAGAGGGCAATGTAATATATGCTGAAATTGCTTCTGCAACAGGAACCATTAGATTTTCTCATTAGTTGAAACGTAAAATATTGGCAAATTAGACTATGATTCTAGCAAAAAAACCTCTTAGGTCACGTGGTCTATTTCTACTGTTCTGACAGGACTGAACTGTTAATTTTGAGGTGTTTTGTACTACCTGGTTTTGAGCAAGTTCAATTAAAAAGTGAATAAGATCACTCCAGTGAAATGTTCTTTATAATTCATTTGCCACCTGACAAGTTGTCTTTGAAAAATACCATGAAGTATTTAAACTTAATGCTGTTAGAAAATATTCCTTAATATACATGTTACTGGTTTCTTCATACTGCTTAAGTTGTACCTGAAAAGGATTTTCTTACTTGAAAAATAATTACTATAATCTGGACTACATTAATTCAGTGGTCAATGGTTAAAGGTTCACATTACTAAATTACAAGGAGGGGGCTGTAAATCAACATTGTTTTAACAAATAATTGCAGTACAATAATTGTGTTCTTAAAATTACAAGTAATCCTAAAAAAAACAAATGTCAGGACTGCATAATGTTACATGGCTACTGAGGAGAAATTATGTCACCTTAGTCTTTGAGGCACATACAGATGATCAAGAAGAAGAAAGTGCTGACTATTGGTCAGGAACTCTACATCACCTTTGCTCTGCTTTCATTATTGGTCATCTGTTTTTGCAATCCCAAACACTAAAGTCAGTAACTTCATTGGTTTTATATCTCTGCAGGCAACTACAATCCTAATAAATTGTCTTAAACTAGTCCTTCCCTGTTTGCACACATATGTTTGTTATTTTTAAAGAGTGCAATTCAGGTGTTCCTTTCCTTTATCTTCCAGACCATTCTTAACAACAGATTTTAAGGAGCAGTCAAGCATTACTCCTGTGTGGTTCAAGCAGTCACTACTTTGCTAGACATACTAGTAGATATTTTACTTATTTAAAAAGAACCTGTAAGAGGAACAAAGGAAGAAAGAGTGATGCATAGGAAGGTATGTCCACCAACTATGAGGAGAATGAAGAGGGAATAAACCTAACTTGAATCAGCCAAGAATACAGCCAAAAGACAGTGTGTATTCTAGATCTAATACATGCAGTATATCTGCATCCAGTGATGCTTTCAGTGAAGTGAAGAAACACAGTATTTTGCTTTTGGGGGTATTAACTGACCTGAACAAATATTTATTGTCTTCCTGGTCACTCCTTTGTTTGTGGGTTGCATATGGTAAGACAAACTGGCAGATCATTCATGACCAAGCTTTACTTATAAACTACTCCATTGCCTATTTAATGGGATTTGAGTCCAAATCAATTTAATCTAAATTTTTCTAAGAACATCCTATTATGCACTGCATTAAGTGATTTATTAGTGGTGAATTTCTTCAATACAGATTTTCAAATAAAGGTATAAAACAAAAATAATGGCAGGCATTAAAAAATCCTATTTACCAACAATAACAGTAAGAAATAGACAAGACAGATCAGGTATTACCTTCCTATGTATGAAGAGTACCTTCCTATATAGCATTATATTCTGACATAGACTTTCTTTCACTGTAAACAGCATTTGAACTGTTTTCTGATCACAACACAATCAATTTAGTTTGTTACCTTTGAACGCTCAAATGTTGCCCAGTTTGTAGTTTTTTGTTAAGCAAAATCTTGAGAGTGTGACTTGTAGATGCATATTAAAACTTGAATCACCTTAACAGGTAATTCTACATGAAATTATATTCCATAGATGAGAGGAGGGGGAAAAAACCATTCCCACTCTCTGTCATATCTGTAAAGAGACTTTTTTTTTCTTTAAATCCACAAACATTACCTGAAGTTTCTTCAAAACTTCATATAAACTCTGTTGTGACCACCAAGGACATTATGGGAGGAGACAGATATATATATATATATAAAAAAATCTAAGGATGAAATTAAAGAATAATACAAATAATTTCCATGACAGACTGGCAGTGCTTTTATGTTCCAGGCCACTTATTTTATATTCTGTTCTATTTAATCTCTGTCATTAACCATTTGTATCATAGTGGTATTAGAGAAAGAAGCTATTAGATTTGTCTCAATTGATCCATTTTTTTCCTTAACTGAAACTGTTGCTGTGTACAGTGGCATTTTCTTTTGAACTCATGTTCCCTTCTAGATCTGCTTTATTATTATTTTAGTAGGTGTGAACTTTAGTAACAAAAGGAAGGTCTCAAGAACTATTTTCTTGGTTACTTGAAAGCTACCAAACAAACTGAGTAATACTTAATTATTTGATATCTCTTTGTAAGATTTAACCAATATTTAGAAATGCCTCATTTTTTCCCACCAGACAAGAAAAGTAGACACTGAACTAAATCCATCTCAATTTCTATAGCAACATCTGGTATCAAAAATAAAGTATCTGTGTACATGGGCAGATAAACTAACATGACTGTGGCATCAATCTAAAAAAATCCACATACATGCAAACCCCTGCTAAAATACAAAACTAATCAGTATCACCTGTAATGCAATACTCCCAACTGCTTATATAAGCAATTATGGCAATATGATGTGCATTGTACTATAACCTAGCAATATTATCAGTGGATTTTACAATGAAAGCTGCAAGTAAAATTAAGACAAACAAAACCAGTATTAGCAAATAATTAACTTTAAGAAGATCAGTGAGAAACTACAGTTAAAAGCATTACAGTAGTATATAAGTATCTCCAAATTAGTGTTTTGAATCTAGGATGTGTTCAAGCAAACACTAGTTCATCTCAGTAGCAAATGAGGTCCAGGGAAAAGCATAGACCAAACACATTCAGTCTAACCATCATCACATAGGGGTTAAAGTGCACATACCATGTTAAACAGTTACATCAAGCAGTCCTTCAGACTGCCACAGTCCTCACCAACTTTTATCCTCCCTTAAACTGTCATCTAACAACACAACTCCTGCATTACATTCCATCCCAATCTTCATTTTTTTTCAGCAACCCGTCCTAGACAGTCTCTGTCCAGCCTTATCCGGACCACGCTGCACCGAGCACCGCGCTTCCTTCTTCCTGGCACCGTGCTTCATTCTTCCTCCCTGGATGAGAAGACACATTTTGCCCCTACAGTTGCAAGCCTTCATGCATATTGTGTGTATTGGGCAACATTCCAGCAAGGCCTCCATGTGGAGAAGGGCTTCTTGCTTTTGGACTCTGTTGAAGGCTTATTTTTCTACGACTGGCTGCCAGCTGTTTGGTTTAAAATCTGAGTGGAGTAAATCATATTCTTCCTTTTAGGACACATTTCCACAGTGCTGGCTTCCTTTTCTTTACTCTCAAAATAGAAATAATTGGCCTATCACAATCCCATTTTGTCGCTCATCCTAGCACCCAGGAAAAACTCCTATTTTTTAAATGTTTTTACTGGAATGACAGAGTTCCAAGTTTCATTTTAGTTATTTTTATATTTAAACACACTATTATTTTATTTTTATTCTTATGAATTATTATTTCTACAGTGAAGGCTGTCACAGTTCAGACTGCTAAATCATGCCAACCATATGTAACCATATTATCTAACCCATCTTTCAAGAAGCTGCAATGATTATTGCTTTAGCAAAATAGTCAGACACAGTATTTCCAATGTTTTATCTTTGACATACTGCTTCCTCCATTGTAAGGTACCTCCTTCCTGTTAATCCTGCTCACAGATGAAAACTACTGACACTCTAGTGCTGCATTTCCTGTGTCAAAAAATACAGGAATGATGTATTGCCTAGATACCTGTCACTTCAGTGATTGAAACCTGAAGTGAAAAAAGAGCAGAAAGGAACAATGGGTGGTATTCCAAGCAGTTCCTGATGCATATGTGGGCTGACATGACTGAACCTGGTCTATATATTCCCTGTGTATACATAGCTAGAGATGTCCTCCATGTGATTAGTGAAGCTGAGCCAGAAATTCACCAAAACCAGGCACTCATTAGCAAAAGCATGCTGGGGAAAAAGAAAAAAACCCAAACCATGACAAAAACAACAAAACCCACAAACAACAAAACAACAGCAAACAAACAAACAACACACCAATTAAAAGCTAAGTATTTACCTGTTGTAATGACAGAAACAGGAACAGCTCCCAGTATTTCAGTTTTTTACATTATTTAATTTGAATGTACGCAGTGTGCAAGGTCATTACAGCAGTGGTTCTGTCAAGTCCAGCCTTGTACATATTTGTGGTTCGTGGCTGACAGTAAACTGTGAAGGCTTTATGATGCTGAGACATCTATAGAAACTGCCTCTGTGTGGATTTCCCTTTCTCTTACACTGCTTAAATTCATTCTGCAGACTTTCCTTCAGTCTGCACACAGCCAAGCATTTGTTTCTTGTATTTTGGACACCACATTCCTGAAACTGATACTGAGCAACTTCACCTTTTGAGCTCTCTAAAACCTTTTACAAATTTCACCGGTCAGCCACAAGGCTGCTAGGGAAGAGGAGCACAGAGGTTCAGGTGGGCAAGAAGCACACACTCACGTGCAAAGTGTAGTCAGACAAGCTTTGCTTCCTTTGGAAAGCATCTTAAAAAACTTTTCTTCCAGAAGATACTTTCAGTTTTCCTGTAATGCTGTTTCAAGGGGCAACTCTGGCTCCTTGTGGTGAGTCTGACCTTTATTGTGAACTTGAAAGATGCTGCCTTGACCAATGGCTCCTGATTAAATTTGGCGGCTAAAACAGTAGTGAGCTGAAGCACTGGCAGTCTCCTCCATAGGTTGCTTTGTCTCACTTGTGTCATGTCAAGAAATAAAATACACGGCACTACATAGCAGAGGTGTTAAATCCTGCACACACCAACACGTTCCCAGCACAGCACTGGAACCGCGACGCTATGCGAAGCGATTCCCGGCAGTTTCTCCCAGGCGCTCCTGATCCTCGATGGGTTTCCCACAGGACGTGGCGCTGCCTGGGTCGGCCTGGGCTCCCCTGCGCGGCCCCGCACCCGGCCCAGAGCCCTGCAAAGGCTGCGCTCCCTGCTCGGCTGCTCTCTGCAGCCGGCAGACTTCGCCGAGCGCTCTTCAAGTGCCTAACGGGGAGGACAGACGGGGGGCAGGTCTCCAGGGGGTCTCCCCTCCCCTCCCCGCCTCAGAGCCGGCGGGCGCCGCTGTCCCCCGCGGGCGGAAGCGCCTGTGGGGGCGGGAGGTACGTATGGCCGGGCCGCGGGGAGC